ATTTGATTTGACTTTCATAAATGATAATTCTGCCGTAACGAAAGCTAGGGAGTAAACTAGGGTGTATTAGACAGGGCACAAGACGATGGGTAGGACGGCGAGCGGGGGAAGGGCAAGGGACGGTGCTGAGGGAAAGGGAGGTAGAAAGAGAGAGAGAGGGCGTTCATTGCAGAACAAACCGTAGCGTTGTGGGCCGAGCAGAAAGTTGGAGACAAGATGGGATAATTCTGAACAGGTCAGGATGTTGTGGATAAGACGGGAAGTTGTAAAGTTGGCCTGGCGGTGTGTGTCTAACTACGATAACGCAGAGGACACGCCTGAACGGTGTAGGTGGGATTCGAAATACTACAGAAGGTTCCTGAAAATAAATGTCATTATATCGAAAGTATAGCTACTTTCTGTGGAAAATAAAGGCTCATTTGAAGATTAAAGGCTCATCTAATGACGCAAATAAAGACTCATCTAAGCACTATTTGCGCTCACAAGAGATAGCCAGAGGGACTACGAAACAGCATGGAGGGTGCAAAGAGCCGTAAGGAGAGTAGGGGGGGACATGGGACAGGTCGGAGGGAGGGGTCCTGTGTCAAGTCTAGGCGGACTGAAAGTGATGTATGTTAGACCGTGGGCAGGCTGTGGCGGTCTGACCCGTCCTCTGTCCAACAATTGCCGTCAAGAAAGAACCAAGGGGGAGCGACAAAGGCTGAGACAGAACTGTAACAGTATCTCAAGGACCGAGAAAATGAATCCAGGTTGAACCAAGCTGCGGGTTGGAATGCGTGCTGTAATGCCTAAGGTTAAATCACGTGGATAGGTTTACGTATAACTAAAACTGAAATTAGGGTCGGTAAGCTTGGGTTACACGCCACGAAAAATAGATTATGTATCACTGCAATGAGACTTTTATCACTAGTTTGAAAGTTTATGAGAATGGCATTAAAAGGAAAGCCCATATTCAAGTTAATGAAGACCTTCATAAGACATACCAATGCTTCTATCAGCAGGTTCATAAAAGTTCACAATACCAATTGAAGTTTGCATGATTACAGGGAATATCCAACTCATGCTGTAATCTCCACGCACTAATATATCACTGACCAACGTAGTTAACTGAAAGCTTATATGCACCGAGTCTCAATGAAGCCATGCCAGGATTATTATCGCTGCGGTTGGCTAAAGCACATCGGAGGGAAGAATAATATAGACGCACCTTACTTTATTACAGCATAATGCTTAACATCACTTCCTCCGTGGGTATTTTCGTCCTTACAGCATGAACGCCGATAATACTAACGCGAGAAAAGTACCGGCTGAAGTTACTTGATCAGCCGTGAAATAACTGCTTAACATATATGTTTACGAGCTCCTGTGTGCGCCGGGAGGGAGACTGGATAATATAACTTCTTTGTTACAGTGATTTTGTGCAAGCATGGCTGCCAAGTGGTGTCGACACGCGTGAAGCTATGACAAAACAGCGATGAAGAGGTAATAAATGACGATGTCTGAGCACTTCCAATGCAAATATACTTGTTAGTGCTTGCCGGAGATCGTAAAGCGAACAGGAGGAGCGAGGGAGAGTAACTGTAGGCTTCTCGTCACGAAAACGGACCCGAATTTCGCTCTTTGATGATTGTTTTATTTGATCATTTGTTGTTCGTTTTTTATTTGTTTTGTTTGTTGAGCTTGTGTATAGGAATCGGTCTCTTACCGTTGTAAATCTATTCATCAATGTATTACCCGTAAAGGAGATATGTCTGACCGCATGGGCGTCTACTGTATATTACTCTACAAGGCTGTATGGTTACATGAAACTTCTAAGCGTTATATGGGGGTCTATAAAAGTAAATAAGGGCCTCTGTTACTATGTTAGTGAGTAACAAACTACATTATAGAGTATTATCTTGCCATATCTCAGTGTCATTCAGAAGAAAAACCTTTGGTTGTCTTGAAAGTTTGTGAAATGACATGAGAAATATGTAATTACATTTTTAAAACGTATGTAGAGAATGCACATCGCGATATTACTAATGTACACCGTGAGTCTATAAAATTATATGACAGAAAATGCCATCCTCAGCGTAACTGCGGTGGACCAAACTACATTTACAGTTATATATTATACAAATACGTTGTGTTCGAGCAAGGACTTTGTCTAACCTAAATGTAGTTTCAATTAATACGTTCCTCCAAAAGGATATTGTTTTATACAAGTGATGTAAAAGGGCGCCTCCTTTCCTACAAAATTCGTATTTATATTTGTCATAACATCGAGTGGAAAATTTCGATACGATATGATGATGGACATTAAACAAATGCTTTTTCGTGATAAGACAAACCGGTAAAGCCGGAGGCATAATCCTTTTTTTAATACTACAGGTTTCAATCAAAACAATAAGGCTAAGGCATGCCAATCAGGAAGCTCCATCAATGTAAAAGCTTTATCATGTTATGAGAGACAAGCCTGGAAACGTGAAGGACTATTATGAGGTTAGGCAACATACGAGAGCTCCTAACCTACGAGGTGAGGGCGCGAAGGGAGGAAAGAGGGGGGGGGACTAGCCGCTGATGGGGGATTATAAGTAATCAACATGACCGCTCGTTACCAACATAATCGTCCTTTTTTATCTCTATCCTTAATAGCATTTAATCATGTCAATTCTCCCGGAAGTAAGTGTCTAGTACGCCTCATTTTGGGTGTATCAGACGGGGTAGAGGAGGGGGGAAGGGAGAGGGGAAGGCTGAGGGTCATTATGCTCGGCTGAAACTCGTATTCGAAGCCGCATGCTGAGAGGATGGATGTGTCTGCTCGAAAGTGAGGAAAACCGAGAGAACTGTCGTCTTACATAACATCAACTCATGTGTAAGGTACTGATGAAGACGCGACTTGGACCAGCAGAGAGGAATAAAGGCGTCAGACCTTGATAATATTCTCGAACAATCATTTCTGCCCCACCACCACGCGGCAAAACGCTGGACTGACTAGTATGTCATCACAATAATTACGTGATGTGACTCCCCTTCCCCTTCCAAACTTCCTCTGTCGCCCGGAGAGACTTGTAGTTCAGAGTGCCGCCATCTTGCACGTCCACGGCACCCTGACACGCGACACCACCACGCACTTTTTTTTCCTTTCCTTCTTTCTTTCAGCCGTTCCTTTTTGTTCAAGTGGCGCGGCTGTGTTTCGGGGAAAATTGTCGGCTTGGCGATGTGACCTGTGAGGCAGTGAAGCAGCTTGCGTGTGTGTGTGTGGTCCGGGCCTTGACATCTCGACGCACTCAGGTTCTAGGTTGGGTAATCTTTGCATCAATACTAATTAGTTCCAGGAACCACTAGCTTATACAGGTGAATGTTATACTTGTAGCTTTGCTGATTCTCATTTTCCAGCTCGGTAAGGCCGTGGCGTCGCGTGCTCATAACGAATCTACATTTCTGAGTAACATGCAAAGCTGATCCTGGGCATGTCACGGTAAGACTAGTATTAACGCAAGCTTTGTCAGTGATGAGCGGACTGTACAGTTTTCGGGAATCACGGGCCATGCAAGGAATTTGGGACAGATATAAATTCTGATTAATCTCTGTGAGCGAGACAGAGCCAGACTGTCTCGCGTCGCCCAAAGAGCTTAGACACGACTTCCACCATAAACTCCCAGCGAATTTTAACATTTATTCGAGATAATGCTGCGGAGCACGGCGAATAAAGAAGAAGAAATCAATTGCCATAGATCCCCTCCATCTGAGTGTCCGGGCGCGCCAAACATCGTAGCCTGAGCCAAGCCCGACAAAGAATAATAATGCCTCAGAGTGTAACGGGATTTTTTTGGAGTTTCCCGTGTAGGGGGGCACAGCAGGGTGAAAGAGAAAATTGCTGACGGTGTAGGTAGCTGGCGCTGCGCTCTGTATGCTGGCGTTGATGATGGTAAGAGGGACGCCCACATGTGCAGTAGAGGGAAGTTGGGACACATGGTCTGGTCGTGTAACCCAAGCTACTTTCCTGGTCTTGCCTTGTGACCACGCGGTACCTCCACGCTCCCTTGAATTTCATTGCTTGCCCGTCTTGGTAACCGCTGTCCTATGACCGTTGCTACAAGGGAGAGCGGCCGCGTCTCGGAAGGATACCGCAGCTAGCATAGGCCATGTGACAAATAAATCCCCTCCTCCTCGCGGCCACTCTTTTTGAGTTGGATGATTTTCAGTTTTTCTTCGTCTAATTCCAAATCGAGCCCCTCTCCCCTTTTCTCAAAACCAGAAGCATAGTTAGAGTCTGAAAGCGTATCCAAAGAACTCATAGAGTAATTAAAGGACGTAAAAATATCGTGGTCGTAAGAGAGGAGAGAGGGGGTGGGAGGGTAGGAGGAGGAGGAGGGAGGAGGGAGGGGCGGGTCTTCCTCCCACAGTCGTATCTGGCGCGGGGTTGCGTGGGCGTGGCCTGGCCCGTGAGAACCAACCAGCGACCGCCTCCCTCCCGCCCGCGCACTAAATAACTGACGATCGAACTTGCTCTTTGTGAATTGACAGGGGACGCACAGATTTTATCACTCGTGGAAAGTGGTCTATTTTAGTGATCTTTGTGCAATTACGAGTGTTTTAACTGTAAGTATATGAGACTTTACTGTACTGGCTATCACTGTGTGTACTCTGCATACGTGTGTCTTTAGTCGTAAGTGTAAGAATATCAATAATAGAAACGAAGGTGACGCGCGCGGACCCAGCCTCTCGGTCCGCCTTGCTGGGTGATTGTAGCAGTATTTGTTTGGTGTGATTGAAGTAGGACGTGGGGAGGGACGCAAGCCAGCGAGCCAGCCAGCCCAGCCAGCCCCAGCTTCACTCTTTTCAAAGCTTGAGTCCTTACCCCCCCGCCTCCTCCTCCTCCTCCTACTACTCCCCCTCCTCCTCCTCTTCCCCCTCCCCCGCCATGTGACCGGGCCGCGCGCGCGAGAATTTTACGCGTTTTCGTTTGGATTTTAGAATTGTAATTGATTTATGGTCGCGTGATGATTGATGGCCTTAATGATTAGGAGGTATTGAGGTACTCATTACTGGCATGTCTGGGTGCTTATTAGCATATATCTCGAAGATTCTCACTGGCAGAAGCGGAAAGTAGGTCTAGAAAGGCAAACAGAGTAAAGTACAAATCACGAACCAATTCGAGGAAACATTTCCACGATTGCGGATAATACTGGTCGGGTGGCAGGCAGGCAGAGGCGGCGGGAGCGGCCCTCTCCCCCGGCTTAGACCGCCCGGCTGCTGCCTGCCTTCACCACCACCACACAACCACCATCATCATCAGCAGTCGCAGCTTTGCCCGCCACCATTGCACACCGCGTAGGCCCCACAGGACACAAGCTTGGCGTGGCGGTGGTTGCGTCGGGGTGGTGTTGTTGTGCTGACTTACGGATCTTGTAAGTGTGATTCTCCGTTAGCAGTGAGCGTTGGGTAAATGTGTGTGATAAATAGGGTGTAGTGTCAGTGGTATTGATTACGTACGAGATGAGGTGAGCGGCTGCTACGCTTGGACAGTGACAGTGACCATCGGGGTTAGAGGAAGGGGATGCGGTAAGGCGAAGAGGGGGGGAGGGGGCGGGGAGGCCGAGGGACAAAGGGCTGTAGGAGGTGGAGGAGGAGGAGGAAGAGGAGGGGGTGATGGAGACCAAGGGGGTGGGGGAGAATGCCGTGTAGAGAGGGGGAGGGAAGAGGGGGGAAAGGTGGCAGGAGCAGGGTGATGGTGGTGGCTAATGGGGGGGTTAGAGGGATCACGTCTTGACCCCCTCCTCCCCCCACTCTCACATCTCCCCCCACACGACCGCCCACCCACCCACCACCCCCGCACCGTTTCCGGCGTGCACTCGTATGGTGTCTGGACAAGCGTGTTGTTGTCCCTGGTGCCTCGCATGCTGTCCTCCCGACTCCACTTCCACTCCACGCATGGACGCCGTCGCGGGGCTCTCAGTGTCTCCGTCGTAACCGCACTCCCGCCAGGCCTTCAGCTGTTCCTTCGGCAGTAGAGGCGCACAAGGACCGAACGACTGTGCCCACGTCTCCTCCTGTCACGGTAAAAAGAAGCGTGTGTCATCAGTCCTTGAGCAGTGTTTATGGGGAGGCTTGTATGGGAGGGAAATTACAGTCATGATTAATACTACAGAGTTAATTCACCTTGACGAAAACAGGTAGTTTGGACTTAACCACAACGATGCTATATTTCTCGTGCGACCGCAACACCAGTGTTTAATCTATGACCACAAGCGCTTATGGACGAGTGTCAACTTACCGGAAATCAATGGCGTGCATCATATAATGCCTGACCGCTGACCGACTCTAAGTCTGTGCTGCGACATTTCATCGGCAGCCACACTGTGTTTTACTTCGGTAGCCTTCAGTGAGCCACGTGATCTTAGCGCTACATAGCTGAGACTTTTACACAAGGTCGTTGAGAGCTGTGATCACGTACAGTATACAGCCCTGAAAGGTTCTTTGTCGTTCTTGTGAGATATTCGCTGTCGGTTCCTCAGAAACTGTTCATGTCGGTGGGACGAGGAACACTGTGGCGAAGTTGTTAGTGAAGGAAGGCCGTCGCGACGCCCCGGCCAGTGCTCGTCAGGAGGAAATTGTTGTGTAGAACAGATAAAATTGTCAGGAATGTCGCGTGACGTCACCGATAGGTAACATGAACTCGAAGTTTTCCTAGACGTGTAAAGTTTAATGGCAGCTCCGAGGTGGTGATGTAGGCTATAGAGGGGAGGGAGCAGCGCGGAAAGTATCGGCACATCAAGGTTCCTTAAGCCCGGCTACCTCTGTCACTAGGTAATGCTGCTACATAACGTAATCAAACCACTGACACACATACACGATGTATTAATTTAAAATCTTTCTCCCTTCCCCCTTCCTTTCGCACAACTTTTTCAGGTATGTATTTTGTATTTTGGTGTGAGTAGTATGACGCGAATAGTTGAATATCACAAGCGTCAAGAACAAGGAGAGGAAATTATATTGTGAACTATGTATGTAGACGCATGGATCACGCCGAAATAATAGCGTGAGAAAGATCTGCCTTGCTTGTTTCTTCTAGTGAAGGGAGTGTAGCATAACTATTTACCATAATGTACGTATGGATATCACGTATATCGTCTGAGTACGGTTGAAAAATAGAGGTACATTATGACAAATTGGTATGGCGCGCTCACATAATATGATAGCGTGTTTTTGTGTGTGTGTGTTTTTTACTTTTTTAAGAAGTGCCCTCCAGCTTTTATGTAATATATGCATATGTTTTTTGTGATGACATCGAATCACTGATATTTGATTCTGTACGAGTTTATATCCATTACCGTTCACTGTAATCGGATACAGCGAGTAGTTACAACAATACTAGAAAGGTTAGGCATTGCATGTGATGGTATATGAATTTTTATCCTCCTGTGTTTTTCGGCTTTAAAGCAGTTTCTGATGGGCGAGGTTAAATGCTAGTCAGATTTATTTGATAGTTGGCAATTTATGTTTAAAGCTATCGTATACGCTCTGCATTTAAAGGATGTGCAGCTATTACAGAGCGTACACACTCATGCACACACATGCATATTTATGCAAAAGCCAATACTATCACTCTATATAGCTAATACTATTACTATATATTGATAAACTGAATGGGAGAGAGATTGAGAGAGAGAGAGAGAGAGAGAGAGAGAGAGAGAGAGAGAGAGAGAGAGAGAGAGAGAGGTAAAAGAAAGCGAGAGGCGAGACAGAGATAGAGAGAGAGAGAGAGAGAGAGAGAGAGAGAGAGAGAGAGAGAGAGAGAGAGAGAGAGAGAGAGAGAGAGAAGACCGAGACCGAGACAGAGATACACAGAAACAGAATCAGAAACAAAGGCAGACAAAGAGAGAGAGGGAGAGCGAAAGGACGAAAAACAATAATGGAAAAATAAAGAGGACCCTCCCCTGCATCCACGTGGATCTATCAGTCAACAATATTAACATTGTTTGGGTGCAAGCGAATGTAGGCCACTACTGTTTCCCCGGCAGTTGGAGGGCGTTAGAACGACTTTAAACACATTAGTAGAATTTAGGAATTGTTAGGGTCATCCCATATTAGCCTCTAGATGCTTCAGGTTAGAGTGCGACACTTAAAAAGATAGTGTTAATACCACGTGGGGAAAAAACATGCATGAATATTATTTGTTATGGTCGTAAGATATATATATTTTTTTGTCTTTGTTGATAGTGATCTTTCTTCTGTCGCCTTTTATTTGCATATTTGATCATGGTTAATTCTATTCTTCGCTACGAGTGTAAGTTAACTATGTTTTGCTGCTACGGTATTACATTCGTGTATTTTAATGATTCCACCATAAGAATGTCAAAGAGAGTTGGTCTTGTAATTGTAATTAATTTTTGCATATATTCTTTTTCGTGTTTTTAATTGCGGAGCTCATTTAAACTTCGTTAGATTCATAATTTGCGTGTAATGTTTTTCTCTCTCTCTTTCCTGTCACTATGAACCTTAATATTGATAGATCAATTATTGTTGTAAATTGAAGCTTATTTAATTTGACATTCCTTATCGCGTGAACTGTAATTTGACTATTTACGTTATTTTATTGTTATCACTAGTCTTATGATTATTGTTGGTAATATTGTATTGATTTTATAATTGTTACTACGTTTACTGCTACTATTATTAACAGTAGTATCGTCATACATTTTTAATTAAATATCGCCATCGGTTGTTATTATAACCCAGAGAATAATAATGATTACAACAGTTACTAGGATTATCGGCAAGGAATGGCAGTAATGGTAGTTGTAGTATTCCAGTTAACTTTACATAACCATTATCATCATCATATTCATTAAAAAAATGTAACATTGATTTTCACATTTAAATTTAGTAGGTCAAGGTTGCGCTAGTGAACCTCAACCCGCGGTCCATTCATAAAACAAAGAGCTTTTAGTCTCAAAATATTGTGAATGACACTTTAATACAGTTGATAAATTGTTGTTCGTTTACATATTCATAAAAAGGTTCAGTATATAGCAAAGGCAAGTATACGCGTTTGTTTACCATTGCGATAGCTGCTGTTACTATTATTATCACTGCCTCTCGCATTATTATTATGAGTAGTAGTAGTAGTACTATTACTAATACGAGTACTATTATCACCAATTTGTATTTCTCCTTCGTTTAGATTTGATTTCATATAATTTACTAAACTGTTTCGATGAGTAATGTTTTGGCTCGTGAAAAAAATTCTTTATTAGTTTCTTTAGTTCAAGAAGTTTGTTTATTTTGAATTTATGACATGGATATTCTACGCTTGCTTTGTAGATAATGAAACGATAAAAATACAAAGGCAGTCAAATGCTTGTGAGAGATGAAAATGCGTAGAATTTTCGGATTTAGCGATGTATTTCAATAGCATTTTCAGGGTAAATATCAAAAGGCGGCATTACGCAAATTGTAAACTCAATTTTTGTTAATCTTCTTTTCACTGAACCAGACCAACCGCTATTCGAAAAGTGGCGTACCTTTCCCATATACTTTTATACAAAAATCCCCTTGTGTTTCCCCATACCCCTGTTATAACTTCCCCCGTCCTTCCTTCTCTGCCTTCCTTTTTGAAAATCCAAACGAGAAATTCCAGCTCACCCACCATTCCAATTGACTTCGGGAATTCTGGAATACATGGAGAAATTAGTATTGTTAGTGTAAGTATAAGCGCGCTCGTGTCAGACCTCGCATGCCGGCAAGATTTCATCATGTTTGCCTACATATTGTTTTACTCAGACCTGCGAGATATTTGATTTCTCTTTCGTATGTAGGTGTCGCTGTTAAAGTTCGTGTATGTTTGGGATCTTCCGTGAGTGTTTATTCGTTCACATGTGTATATATATATTTATATATATATTTGTACGTCTGGAGATACATATATTAAAATGCGGAAATAGGTGTATATTTACAGACTAAAGGGATTTGTAGAATTATATAGCGGTCGGTGTGTGTGTATCTCTTAAAATATATTTTTAAACAATATTCGAATTCTTACAATGACTTTTTAAAAAATTACCATGATCGCTATGTTTGTAAGACTTGACCATTAACGCTTTGTTAGCGATGTAGACTGAAGTAAAAGTAAAATCAGGAAAACATATAGAAATAGTAATATTAATAACAATATTATCAAACCACACAATAAAAAAAAAATGGTCTGCGATCCAACATGACAGCGTCGGAAATATTTGTGTGTGCGTGTGTGCGTACGGGCATGTACGTGTTTACTCACATAGATATTAGTAATTGTAGGTTGGTAATTAGATAATTAGATGTTACCACCTGTCCCGCCGTAAGCATCAGTAATGATAATGATGGAACGCGGTAGCCTAAGCGGGAGGGATACTTTTGTACATCATAA